CAGGCGTTCCCTTGCATCTCCACCGGCGTGTTTGGTGAGCGGGGTCAGAGAGGAAGGGCGGGGTCGGCGGTGGGCGCGCCCAGACACTGGGAAGAGCCGAGTGGGCGGGGAGGTGCTGGGGAGGAGGAGCTTGGCGAGTCGCGGAGGCGCGGGGGACAGGCCAGAGCCGGGACTCACTCTCACCTGGTCCCCAGGCTACCCTAACGCGGCGGCAGCCGAGGTAGTGTTGGCCACTCTGCGCGAGTGGCTAGAGCAGAACAAGGACAAGGTGAGGCCTGGGCCCAGTCGAGGGGACTGGACGGGGTGGGGTGGTGGGGAGCATCCGGCTTGACTGACCAGCCCCATCAGTCACGGCGGAGAACACGGGTGCAGAGCCCATGGTCCTCGAGTTCTGACGCCAGTTCTTCCTGCACCCCCTCTCCTTCCCTGGCTGGTTCCCTCTCCTGCACACACCATGAACCCCTTCCGGGAAGGGCGTAGCCTAGCTCTAAGTTCAGGGCCGAGGGGAGTCCCAAGGGTAAGGCAGGTGACCCTGCAGGACCACAGTCAGTTATAAGACCCAGCCCCAAGGAGAGGGCGGCTCTCCAGCCCAGACTGAGCAGGCCCTGGTGCAGGTGGACCGGCTGATCATCTGTGTGTTCCTGGAGAAGGACGAAAACATCTACCTGCAACGGCTCCCCCACTACTTCCCCGTGGGTACGTATCTGCTGTGGTGCAATGTCCCCACCAGCCCCTGCCCCTCCCCACCCACCCCGGGCAGGTTCTCAGTGTCCTCTGCCTTCCAGCCTGACGGCACCCCGCCACCCACCCTGACCAGGACTGGTAAGCAGGGCCTGGCCCGCTGTGCAGCTGCCCACTAACCTCCTGCCCACTAACACACCCGCTCCCCCTCGCACTCACCCCCACGCAGGGCGGCAACCTGGGAGGCAGAGGGCAGCCCACAGCCCACCACACCCTCTAACCTCTCTGTTCTGCCCGCAGACCTGCTGCAGCCCACCGGACCTCGCTCCCAGCTCTGAGGCCACCGCAGCCTGCAGCTGGGCCTGGGCCTGGCCACCACCCTTCCCCCCAGCCCCGCCCCTCGGGAGCCTCCTAATAAAGGCCACGCCTGGCCACCACCCTTCCCCCTAGCCCCGCCCCTCGGGAGCCTCCTAATAAAGGCCACTCTTGTGCAGCTGCTGCTGTGGAGCCCTGGCTGGGTGAGGGAGGCAGAGGCGTGGGTGGCGAGAACTCTCGGTGAGCTGGGCAGGGGAGGCACTGGCCGGACTGCAGAGGTGGGCAGCAGCACTTTGCATTTATTGAGGGCCTGCCCCCAAGGAGCTCACAGCCTGAGGGCCGAGCCCCCGCATGTGCTGGGATGGGGGGGAAAGAAGGTGAAGGCAAAAAGGCAGGCAATGCAGACACCGCGACCCAAGCAGAGGGGGTGCAAAGCAGGCACAGGCAGGGGTCCTGGGGGGAGCAGGGGGATGGCAGCCTGGCAAGCCCTGCCTAGACCTGCGGACCAGACCAAGCTCGGGTTTGAAGGCTGCCCCTCTGCCACCAGACTGGGGCCACCTGGGGTGCACAGGGGGTGCCCCAGCTCCCCCGACCTGCTGAGCTAGACCCCACCATCATATTGACCATGCGGCCCCCTGATGGAGGGCAGGCAGCTGGGGTCTGGCACCCTGGCCAAGACAGCAGGATGGACACAGAGCCTATGAGGGGACAGCGTGAAGCCTCGATGGTCCTGGGTCCCTGGGCAAATCCCTAAGAACTTCCGAATCTTCACGGAAGCCCCTGGCCCAGCTAAGGAAGGAAGGGGGGAGGCGTGAAGGAAGCAGAACCCCAATAACCAAGAGGGGACCCCAAGAGGCCTAGCCCCTCAAAACTGCTGCCGGTAGGGAGGCTTAGGGGTGGACAGGCGGAAGGCCGAGAGGAACCCACCTGGGGGGAGAGGGACAGCCAGACACATAGCAGGCAGGCGGGCAGCAGCAGAGCAGGGACACGCACACGCGGCTCACCACCAGCATCCCCTTTAATAAAACATGGAAGGTTGTGTGACAGGGAAGGGGAGAGTGAAATATGACCATTTACAACCACACAAAAACCTCTGTACATGTCTAGCGCCTGGCAGAGGGGAGGGCAGCAGGGCAGCGGCGGGCAGGGCCAGCCCTATTTGTAGAGGATGTCGTAGTGTCCAGGCCGGTAGAGAAGGTAGACCTTGGGCTCGGAGCCCTCGGGGAAGATGTGCGGGTTGGTGGTGCCGCCCTCGCCGCGGTCCATGTACTCCACCTGGATGGAGACGCTGAGGGCCTGGGCCAGCGCGATGATGTGGATGTGGTCGCTCTCCTTGCACATGGGCTCCACCTCCTGCGGCGCAGGTACGGGTCAGGGTACGGGTCAAGGCCCGGGTCTCAGCACCCCTTCCCCATGCCCCTACTGACCCCGGAGCACTCCCTCAGGCCCCGGTGCTCCCCACCCTGCAGGGAGAGAAAAAGGAGGGCCCCCGAGTCTGAGAAGTGGGGCGGGAGCCGCACCTGCTGGCAGAACTCCTTGACAGTCCGCCCACCCTCGATGAAGTGCTCGAAGAACTTGCTCTCCCGCTGCAGGTAGCCGGAGGTGAGCAGCCGCAGGTAGACCACCAGGTAGTCCGAGGTGCTCTGGTCGTTGAAGGAGGCCAGAAGGTCGGCTACTGAGGTCTGCTTCTCCACCTGCTCGATCAGGTCCATGAACTGCCACCGGCGGGGACAGAGGGCAAGATGAGGGAGGAGCTAGGTCAACCCTGCCATGGCCAGGCCACCCACCCTCCACCCTGGCTGAGCGGGTGACAGGCGACTGGGCTCACCGTGTTATGGAAATCTTCAATTGTGAACTCAGTGAAGCCCTGGGACACCAGGTCCTCTTTGCTCTTGGCAGACACAGCCTTGAACCTGGCAGTAGAAGGGAAAAGGAAGCCGTCATGGGCTCCTCAGCCAGTAGAGCAGGGGCCCAGAGAGGCCAGCCCAGGGGTGGTGACTGGCCCTCATCCCTAGCTAGGAAGGGAAGCCCCCATCACGAGCCTAGCCTATTGTCCAGCCTCAGGTGGAACTGTACGTCCTAGGCATCAGGAGGGAGGAGGGAGTCCCCCAGGCCCCTTCACAGAACCGTCGCCCAACTCCTTCAGCGCCCAAGCGCCACCCCCTCACCTCTGCAATTCCTTGCTGTCATCCAGCAGCGCCTCCAAGTGGGAGAACCCGAAAGCTCGATAGAAGCAGTTCCCGTCGGGCCTGGTCTTGCGGATGTACGAGTACTTTTTGTGGAGGTCCTGCAGAGGCAGCCCCCCCAGCCCGTGCCCATCAACATCAGGCAGGGCAGGCCAAGGAACCCCCTGACAAAGGGCACACCACAGCAGTGGCAACTGAGCTCCAAGCTGCCGCCTGCTGACTCTGGTGATGGGAGTCAGTGACCCACAGCCCAGAACCCCAAAAGCCTCAGGAAACCATAACTTGTGGATACACTGGTTGCAGGAGCCACCAAAGTAGTCAGCAGCCACTGGCCACACCATGCTCCATCTCCAGTACCCAAAACAGTGCCTGGGTCTCCCACAGCTATCTGTTCAAAAAATGAGCAAGTGGGTCAGTCCCTGACTGATGCAGCTTTTCCAGGGAATCAAGTCCTTCACACCATGCGAGGCCAGGGCAAACTGGCTAGGGTCGGGGCGCAGTGCTGGGGGCACACCACACAGCCCCGGGGTGGGAAACTGCCTCCCTTGGCTCCTTCTCAGCGCCACCCCGCCCACTCACGGGTACCATCACTGCGCGATCTTTTCCAGTTTCCTCTTCAAACTTCATGGAATTTCTTCTGTCAAACCCACCCGCGAAGAGGCCGCTAGTCCTGGGGGCAGACCCATTCCCTGGCCCGGGCACCCTCCTCTGCTCCCCGATGTCCACTTCTTCCCTGCTACGTTCTCCTTAAACCCCAACCCATCTCCCAGACGCCCCTGCTCCCTTTCTGATGACTTCACTCCCACCAGCACAGCCGCCCGCGGCCTTCTCTCCCGATCCTCCGAGCGCCTGAGGCTGCTGCCAGAGCCAGTCCCCTCCCTTGGTGACTCAAGGACACTGTTCCACAGTCTCCGGCTCCTCCTGCATCATCAGTTTTCCTCTCGCTACAGTTGAGACCCATCAGCATATAAACACAGGGCTAGTTCTCACCTTAAAAAAAAAAAGATCCTTTACTTCACACGAATGCCTTTCCAGCGACTACCCAGTTTCTCTGCTCTCCTTTACAGCGAAACTGCCCGTGAAGTCTGGGCTCAGCCCCGCTTCTCCTGTGAATGCAACCTAGGCGAGCGTTTACTCTAGTCAGGGTCATGGATGCCCTCCTTAAGTCCGAGGGTGAAACACACCTCCCCAGACTGGCCCCTCAGTGGCATCCAAGCATGGCGATGCCACCGCCACATGGCCTGTCGACCCCACCTTCTCCTTGTCCTCTTCCTCCCCTACTGCCACTCCTCATCTCCCTGTGAAGGTCAGGGCCGCCACCAAACCACAGAGCACCCTTCCTCAAGACACAGTGCGTCATCTGCCAGAAGATGGTCATGACGTACATCCATCCACAGTGACTGCAACATGACACAACCCTGCTCAGGCCTGGGGCAGCTGCTTATCAACTAAACTCACTCTTGATGTCATCAATCTTGGGACTTAAATGGCCCTAAATGTAACTCTTGCCCCGCTCCATCTCAGCCCTGAACTCCAGTTTCTTTTTCTTTCTTTTCTTTTTCTTTTTTTTGTGAGATAGTACTTTACTTATTTTATGGTGACATTGGTTAACGAAATCCAGTAAGTTTCATCTGTACATTTTAACAGTACGACATATATATATTTACACCGTGTGTTCACCTGAACTCTAATTTCAACTCCCACATCCAATCGCCTCGCTGACACCTCCTCTGAGCTCCCCAGCCGAACCCTGACCTCCTGACCTACCCCTGCTCCTTCCTCACCGCCTTCCCCTCAATCAGCTGCAACTCCGCCTTTCAGCTGTTCAAGCCAAAACTGCCACTGCTGACTCCTCTGTCCCACCACATCCAATCCAGCGCAGATCCTTTGGGCTCCATCTTCAATACATCCGGTATCAAGAGCTTCTCACTCCTTAATTCTGCCACTTCCGCCTCCTGCTGGTTTTACCGCAGTTTCCACCTCAGGCCTCCCTGCCCCCACCTGCTGCTCAGTCTATCCTCGCCCCAGCCGCCAGCAACCCGGGAAATGTGGGGATTCTGTCCATCTCCCTCCACGTCCTTTCTCTGGCTACAGCCCCCACATCACCCAGTCACACCGGCCTCCACGCCGCTCCTCAAACCACCAGCGCAGTCCTGCTGGGACCTCAGCCCGCACCGCTCCGCCCCGGCGGCCGCAAGCTGCTCCTGGGCCTCTATTCGCTCCTCGCTCCAACGCCACCTTCTCAGCGAGCCCTTCGCCGAGCACCCTCCTTAAAACTGCAAACCCTCCCGCTCCCCGGCTCCTTGCCCCACGTCGCTTTTCTCCGCAGCACTCACCGCATTTCAGTCACCCCCGGCTTGCTGGCTTTCCACTGTGAACTGTGAGCTTTGTAAAGGCAGGATTTTGTCAGTGGAGGTCCTCACACTGTCGCCAGTACCCAAAGCAGTGCTTGGCCCACAGTTCACGCTCATAAATGTGAGATCGACAGCTCACGATGCATACAAAAAGCCCAAGTCACTGCAGCTACCAGCTCTGCTACTAGAATGTAGCGCATACTCTATGCGCATACTCTGTGCGCATACTCTATGCCAGGTCCTTTGCTGAGGGCTAGTGTCCATTATCCTATTAATTCTCACAGGGAGCCATTTCACAAAGTCACCCAGCTCTGCTTGGGCTCTGCCACCTAGGCTTAGGCTCAGCACCCAGGCGTAAAGGTAGGCACAGCACAGAGTGGGGGTGTCAGACCTCTTGCACAGACAGCACACACTGGCTACTCGAATATTCATTGAATTACTCGATGGAAGAACCCAAGGCCCACCCTGTCGATTTTACCAGGGTGGCAAAGGTGTGACAGGTAAGTCCTGAAATGGGGGCCCCACTCCACTAATCCACCACATGGGAAGGGCCCCCGGCTTCCTAAGTCCTGGCTGAGCGCTACGCACCGCCCGCCATCATCTCCTTCAAGCCTCACACTCGCCCTGTGAGGCAAAGACCTCTCCGCTCAGAGGTGAGAGAACAGAGGCTCCGTGAAGCTCAGCGCGCTGCCCACGATCACACGCTGGAAGTGGTGAAGCCATGACTCAAACCCAGGTCTGTCAGGCCCCCGAGCCAGTGCCTTCATCTCTCCACAGGCCTTTTGGGTAAATCATAAACACGCTGAGCAAGGGGTCAGAGTGGACCACAAGCCACACACAGCTTGATCTGGCCCACAAGTGTGTTGTTTGGTCCACACATTTTACATTTGAACTAGCCGCCAACTGTAAGAATCTGAAGATTTCACATCAAAATAATTTCTAGTTTGTCTTGGAAAAACATCTGGCAACAATGGAGTGACAGGCATGGACACTCCCATCTACCTCCGGTGCTTCCACTTCCTGATAGTGGCAGATCCAGGGCTGTGCTGCTGCCGTTCACCACCTGACCTGGCCACCTTCAGGCACTTGGGTACCTGCCTGGCCCTAAAGGCCCCTCCTTTCGAATGGAAGGTTCTAAATATCTCTGATCTTTAGGGGAGAAGGAGGAGTAACATTTACTAAGCCCCCAGCTGTGCCAATGAATACTGTTTATGCATATCTACGTCACATTTCAACCTCCCAGCTCATAGAGAAGAAAGTGAGTGGGTAAAGGACTTACCTGTTTGTAAGTGATACAGCAAGGCCTGGCACAAAGGTCTGTAGGCTCCTTTTCCCCACTGCTGCCTGCCTCTCCACAAAGATCCCGAAGACAGGCTACGGGACACACTCCTGCCACAACCCTCCGCCCAGACACAGCCCCAGCCTAGACACAGCCCAGCCCATTCAGCACTGAGACCATCAGCTCCCTGCAAGCTAACCTCACAACCACCCTCAACAACCACAGGCCTATGCCTTCATCATCCTGATTTTATAGATGAGGACCCCACATCTCAGAGACACTGAAGGATCTGCCAAGGATACAGCTGCTGTGTGGAAAGTCAAGATCTGAACCGGGGTCTTTTGATTCCAGAGTCTGTGCGCTTAACCAGCAACCAGAGGGCTCCTCTAACACCCTACCCTGCGAGGCCAGGCCCAGCAAGAAGCAGGTGTGAAGCAGGTGCGCTCCTGCCCCCGCCCCCAGGGCTCTTCCTGCCCCCTTGGCCAGGCTCCCACCTTGATCTTCTGTTGATAGATGTTGTCATCCTCAGCATACTCCTTATACAGGACTGAGAGCTCCAGCCGCTCCGAGACCAGAGGGTTCTGCACGGCAATCTGCAGAGAACAGGAAAGCCATCATGCTCTGGCAGGCAGAGGCAGATTTAGTGATCCACACCTACCAGCCAGAACACTTACACCAGGGGTGCCAGGTCATTCACCCAGTGGCACAGTGACCCCCCACAAAGGCACCTAGTGTCTAGCACAGCTGGGAGAGGAGGGGGCTTCCAAAGCAGAGATAAACAAGAGGCCTCGAGCCTCGCCTATGCCTCCCCACAACAGAGCCGCTGACCACAGTCCCTCACCTCTTGCTGAATTCGGTCCTGCTGAGCCATGATGGCTTCATCATAGGCAAGACAGTTAACACCTGGAAAAAGGAAGAAGGCCGAGGATTACAGTGGACCCTGGCTGTCTCCACTCCAGGCAGTTAGACCGAGGACAAAAGCGGCCAGGAGAGCCTGCAAGCTTACACTCTGGAAGTATGCATCTCACCTCCAACCGTGTGATCTTGGCAAAGTCCTTTCCCCTCCCAGGCCTTGGTTTTCTCATCTTTAAAATGAGGGGGCAGAGGTGATGTTGGAAAGATGGGGGCGAGGGTGTTAGAGCTGGGGGTGTGCTTCTCCAGCTCTAACACCCCCACCACCGCTTTCTAACATCACTTCCCAGCAGCCTGGGAACGCTCTGGGGCCAGGAAGGGTCTCCTGGGGAAAGTAAGATGAGGAGGCAGAGTCCTGGGCGTGATGAGAGCTTCCTGTGAGCCTGCACCTAACTTGACCACACCCTTCCTCCTCCGGCTGTCCTGGGTATTCTAAACGGTGCCCATTTGACAGATAAAACAAATGCAGACAGGTGAAATAATCTGCCCAAGGTCACAACTAGTGAAGGCCTGTGGTCAAACCCAGGTTTGCTTAATTCCAAAGGCTGAGCTCTCGGCCACAGCACCTCTCCTCTGCCACCTCACTGCACAGAACTTTCCTCAGCTGTAAGGGGCTAACACGGGACAGGTACTGTTTGTTAAGTGCGCATCAGTGAGTTGGACAGGTCCACCCTATGTTCCCCATCTGAGCAGCCACTGGTGAGCAGCCAGGAGCCAGGAATTCTGGTCTTGGCTCTTTCTTAACTTATGTGACCCTGAACAAGTCCCTTCGGAGGGCCTGGGTCTCCCAGTGTTCAGGCCTTCAAGTGTGCTGTTAGAATGGGGGGTCAGGGGGAACTCAGGCTGCAGAATGACTGTCAAGGCCAATCTTTTTGGGACTGAGCATCCTGGATCCTTACCTGGGACTGGACCCAGCCCTTTCACTGCCCTGCAATGGTGCTGTCTCCTCCCACCCAAGCGACTCAGTCCCCAGGGCCTAACTCGTAGGTGAAAAAGGAGAAGGTGGCACCATTTTGAAAGGTCCAACTCGTCAGAGATCTGAGAAAACAATGCCCAGGAAGGCGGAAAGGGGCTGCAAGGCCAGAAGAGGGGGCTCTACCGGAAACGCAGGCTGCAGTCCTCAGGGACACACCCGCGGCCGCTCACACCCCTGGGCCACCGCAGCATCCCTAGCGGCTGCCGGGTCCTATATGCTTCGCAGCCCGGAGTAACTCGACGCCCTCCCGGGTGCGGACTGCTCTAGAGAAGGAGAGTGGCCGGACCCCAGCCTAGGCCTCGGCCTGCCTGCAAGGACCGGGACGGCGGGGATGGGGACTCGGGAGCCCGGCGCCGAGGGGGGGGGGCGGGA